GTGTGTGTGTGTGTGTGTGTGTGTGTGTGTGTGTGTGTGTGTGTGTGCGCGCGCGCGTGCGTGTGTGTGAAGTAAAACGAGATTGGTAATAGATAATATGGATCGAGTACATACGCTCGCTCAACAGGAAGCTCGGTCTCTTTGAACCTGCAACCCAAGGATCACATACATGATATCGTCACAAATCACACCCGATGGTCGCGCTTAAAAATAAGCTCATTCCGACGATGCAGCAAACCGTAAATATATCAAGTGTCGTTAAACGAGCAAGAAAATGTAACTCAAGTTGAGGATAATTTACTTTTGATTTGTCGTCCTTTAGAGCAGCGAATCAATCGATACCGAAGCCTTTAGAGCTTATTGTTAGACTAAAACTGTCGCATTCTACCTACGAAAGTTGAATATAAATTTACAAATTTCCCCAACGATACACGGACACTACGATTTATCCGAGAGAAATTCTTGGCGAGTTTTCATTCGACACATTGCTGCACCGCACGCATCAAATAATACATTTTAATACGCATTGTTAAGCGCCACCACCACAACGAGAAGCTACGATAGATTACAAGCTACACATACAGAGTACAGAGAGAGAGAGAGTACTAGACTGTTTCCGTACAGCTATACGCGATAACGCGACGGTTCTCGTGGGATTGTGCTCGAATCAAATATCTCACACTGATATTTCATTGTACAATTGTTGGCTGTGCAATCTGCAGCCCTGCGTGAATATTTTGGTGCAAATGCAAACACAAAATCCACCCGTAACTACGTCTAACGATTATCCAATTTTAGACCAAACACATTTTCTTTTCAATTACAATTAAACTGCCAAATTTCATTACAATTTAGAATCACCGAATCGGATTGCAATCAATATTTTTTCTCGACTTTTCAATATTAACGGCACTACGAACCGTGGTCAGACGTCCGGACTATACGAAGAAAAACCGTTTATTATACATATAACACTATAAATTCAACGAAAAAATAATTTAAAGTTAGTCTTTACATTGATGTCCGTTCTAGTTTACTTGCGTAAAAACATTTGTAATCGATCAACTTTCGTCTTGATTTACTTTTCAACTGCACCAGAAAATTAATCGAATAACTGAAAACTAATCAGCTTCGTAAAATTAAAATATCGTTCTTCGTTTCGCAGAATTTTTATTCCCCTCCACCCCCAAATCCTGTTTCTTTGTTTGTTTGTTTGTTTTTTTTTTTTTTTTTTTTGAAACAGATGTTTTACGTTACCGATTAAGAGATACTCTTATTATATGTTTTATCGATGCTACGAAGAGGACGCTGTCGTCGTATCTTCAACTGTAATATCGACTAACGCGGTGGAAGTTACGCAATCGATAGAGGATACTCTTTCACGGCTGCAGCCGATATTCTAGTCGTTACAGTAGATCCCTATCGGTAGGTAATGCAGTCGAGACGGAAATAAAGATATCGTCGTAACATCCAAGAGATGGTAAAGAAGAATCGATAGAATTTGAATGCATGCTTATTGCTTACACTTGACGTGATAGCGCAAAATAGACGATAAAATGATATTATTTCCAGCTCGTATTTATTTTCTAATTATCGTTTAATTGTTCACCAACACGTGCATATCGCGTTACGATATTCCAATTATCATCGGCTTGTGTAAATAGGCTCGTTAACGGCACTGGCGCCGTCGCAAGAGAAATCCGTGATTTACGTAGGCGTAAATTACAGCCAACTCGCCTAATTATGAACCATAGTTTGGCGTTGAATAACCGATAATTACTAGAATTCCTCGCCAACATGACAATCAACTGACAACCTCGATGAACTGATCAATGTAAATACATGATCGAGTTGCAACGTGTTTTTTAGACGTGTAATTAAAAAGTAATCAGGGTCGACCTAGATCGAAAGTAACAATCTTTCGTTAGAATTGAATTTTTCAAGAACCAAAGTTGCAATGTGAAAATATATAAAAACCGTGAAACATTGGTTTACTTTTTCGAATACGTAACAATTATAATATACATGCATATGTACTTTTTAAAATTTTTATAACTTTTTTTTTATTGGATGAACCGATCAAATCATTGCCTGTATTCTATACTTTAAAGTCTGGATGGTACGTCGACGTCTGACCGTGGCTGACCACATCTATCAAAAGTAGAATATGCACCGGGTATCGGGCAGCTTGAATGGTAAATTTTAACGATCGATTTTAAAATAACAATCTCGACAATACCATCTGATCGAAGCTGAACAATGCGGTTGTTAATGCCGCATTTTTAAATTTTGCTAAAAAATTAAAAGATCGACACACATTCCTCTAGATTTTCCGCTAAAACGTAAACTTCTTTTTAAGTTGTACTAACTCTTAAAAAAAAAAAAAAAAAAAAAAAGAAAAGAAAAGAAACTCGACTAATTTTCAAATAATAAATGAGAAATGATCGTGTCTCACCTTTCGCTAGCGATCGAACTGTTTCGAGACATCGATTTCGGTGACATCTCGAAATCGCTGTCGCTGCGGTAGAGGAAGCTCTCTCTTCTTTGTGGCAGAGTTTGGAGAACGAGGCCTGCGCTCGGTGAGGCACCACCACCTCCTCCGGCACCGCCATCCAGCGTCGAGGCGCCATTTTCCACATCGAAACTGTAAACAAACAAGAGTAGCGTTCGATTAATAATCGTTTCATTAGGAAACAAGTGTCAGCATCGAGTTGATAAACTTTCATAAAACCGTATAGGTTTAATGGTAACTTCTTATTGGGTTTTGCAACTTTCGGAAAACCCGCAAGAAAGATTACGACGCGATAAATAACCCACCAAAGGCGTTAGTTAAACTTGTTCGTTATACTAACGATGGTATTCAAGTTTCGTAGTTAAACAGCGTCCAACTACCCACGGTGTTTTTCAGGCCCACGGTGCCCCATAAATATATCTAATTAAAGCCCAGCGAAACCGAGACACGACACTTTTCATCCTGCGAAGCCAGTTTATCGTACGCTATCTGAGATGACAGAAGAGCTTTGGCCTTTCGATTTAACAACTATCTCGTGTTATTCAACACGCTATTTCCAATGCCCAGAGTGAGCAATTTTAACAACTTGGCCGAATAAAGTTAGACAAGTAATATTTATGGATCTTGATGCTGTACTTTTATTGCTACCAAGGGATAAACTAACGGAGATTGGGTTATTTTCTAACAGAGAAATTTGGACAAATGAATTTTCTCGGTCTCGCTGAAAGAACGTAATACACCGTAAAATCAAATTCGTATGTATCGTTCGTGGTCTCCGATTCTCTTCGAAATATACAAAAACTTATAACTTTTCACTTAAAGGGAAATGTACGAGATTTATTTAACAGAGACGAATCGAAACATTGAATCATTGAAACATCGAGAACATTTCATGTTCATTTGGTAAATAATTAAACCGAGAAGAACGCCCAGTATTTCCAGTCGTATGAATTGAAATACTTTACCGAAATTTTAAAGGTCGACTGCGAAGCGTAATGCGCGAAAAAACGAATTTTTCGACTGACCGATCAAAACGATGATGAAATTTACCGCGACAATGGAGTATTTTCATGAAATAGGTCACAAAATTCGTCGACCGATTTAAACAAACTTGTTATGTTTCCGATTGCAAACTTCTTAAACTACTAACGAACGAACGGTTTAAAATTGCAAATTGTAATTTGAAAATCACACGTCGTTAAATTTGTTCGATAAAGTTGCCGTTTCCGAATGAATTATTTGAATTTGAATTTGAATTTGAATTTCAATTTCAATTTCAATTATCGATGGATAAATACAAAAATGTACCTTTGATCTTGGAATATATAAAAGGCTCGAAAGGTATACTACCGATAATTACTCTAAACACCAAATATCGAAAGTGAAAAGCAAAGAATGCAAAGACAGAAGGAATTTCGGAGCGTTCGTTATCGATTTGCGTCTAAACTTGCTCCCGAAACAATTATCTGGATAGTAATTGTCAAGATTGCGATCAATTCGCTCGTTAAGCGGGTTTAATTACTAGCGTGGCGTAATTAACATTCTTTCGTTCTCATGCTCGTCAACGTTGTTCAGAAAACACGGTTCATTTTTCTGTTTCGTACGATTGTATCGTTATACGTCATTATGTAAGCCGTGATTAATACACCGACCTTGCTTTTCAATGATTAAGTAGTTGGCCATTCTGACAGTGGTTTGTCACAGGACACGAACTACCAAATAAATGTCTGTGTATTTAAAAAGATATTTTTATAGAACCTGTCGAATACTACCTTGGACATTCTCGTTCGCTGTCTGGCCACGACAGAATAGATGTAGAAAGATGTAGATGTGTAAAGAATAGGTGTATAGTACGGCATTAGAAGCTTTATGCACGAGCACCGCTTCTTTTAATCGAAAAATATACGACGTAGCTATACGAATGCGATACGTACGATAATTAACGAGTGTCTAAAAAATCAACGGGAAAAATATCAGTTTACAAATATTGTATCAGAATATTATTGTTTTATTCTTTTTTTCTTTTTGAATCGACCATACCATGAAAATGAAACGAATGAAAATATTTCCGGTTGCGGAGAGTGCGTGCGATCCGGCAAGCTGCTGCAACAAGTGTTTCATTTCAAAGTGTAAACTCGTGGGCAAGATATGGGGGGCAATCGTGGCGTTTATCTGACACGACCAAGCCTGAACAGCTAATATTAGTTTGCCGAGCAGAACCAATAACAAAGAAGTGATTAAAATGCACTTCCGTTTCTGCCGCGCCTGTAACGCCGCCGCCGTTACGTAAGAAGCGTGTTGTACTGCATCGAATACTGGTTAAGAGTAACGCGATCGGTCAACCAAGGCTCCAGGTTCCAGGTTCCAGGTTCCAGGTTCCAGGCAAGTTCGACATAATTCGATCCAGACATTTTCCTGGGGAAACACAACGCTGCTTTCACCGAACAGACATGATTTTTCCTTTCATGATATAAACCTGCCGAATACTTTGGAAAATGTTGTACGAATGTTCCAGAAATATTCAAAATTTTTGTTTCGTTGTCTTACTATTTTCGTCGAGAATAATTTCGTTACGATCAGGTTGGAGAGCAAAGCAGAAGATTTTTCTTTCGCTCGACACTTTCTAGCGGATGTTCGATGTCTCTATCATTTATTTCGATAAAAACTTGAAATCTTTGTAACGTAGAATTAAATTTGTATCGGAAGAGTAACCTGTCAAACGTGCGCGTCATGGCACACAGTATCATGTATCGCAGCTTGTATGCAACTGTACTTGTTTTCACTAGTAAAATAAATTGTCTCTGTCAAAGTGGATTTAGAGATGTTGACTGGATATTTTTGGTCTATTTTATTCGGCATTGTATGCCATCTAAATTCTTTAATCTCTTTTATGAGTCAACCGGTGTACGGTCCCGTAGTGCTCGAAATATAAAAACCGATCCGTGATAGATATCAGAATAAAGAAACTGTTGCTTGCGTTCGGTCTTTATGATACATTTTTTTCTCATCAAAAATTCACCTTTCACCGTCAGCTTTCCTGATAATTCTCATTTAATTATAGTAACACAGGATTACCGATAGATTTCTCAGAGTCGGCAACAGCTGCAACGTTAATTAAACTCTTCGAATGGACTAGATGGTAATCAACATATCAGCAATCCATTATCGGAAATTGAGAAAAGCTTGGATGGAAAATAATATCGATTATCGACCGTTCGGTGGACACGGTGTGCACTTAGAAGGGAACATATCCAATCGTCACACGTAGATTTTGATCAAATTTATGCGGTAAGTAGTTCTCAACAAAATATTTGACACGTATTTTTTTTTTATTTACAGCTATTTTTATTTACAGCTTTATTTTATAAACATTTTGCTAAATTTCTCACAAATCGATTCAGATAGAGATGCAGAGGCAGAGGTAAAATTATAAACAGTTGGTTTAATTAAAAACTCAGCTAACCCGAATCGAGTCGAGTCGAGTCCGTCGATCCCTAAAAGAGCGGTAAATCTCCCTCGATCGTGAATCGTTGCGCCGCGGCGCCGTGATTAGGGTAATTGCGCGTGACTGTATCCGCGCGTAGAGAGTTGGGTTCCAGTCTCCCTCTGTAGACTAATTAAACGGAATCATCAGTCGGACCATTATTTCGAGCTCATTTCCTAATGGATTCTTTCGCTAACGGAAATGGCTAAAGGCTCGTTTGACCGGTGAGTTAAGGTCCAAGGAAAAGGGGGACTGGTAATAACTGGCCAGCGAAACGCAACGCAAACAGAATTTGCATTAACTTTTAGTCGTACGTTTTGTTCACGGTAACGCGCTCTTTTTCGCTTGGCTCTCGGTCACTTTAATTCAGAGATTAATTCGCGCGGTATCCTTGTCAATTCGAGTCTTAGTTAATCTGAAAAAAAAAAAAAACTTCACTTACGGGACGGCCACGTAGACCAGTTTAGGGTGCGGCTTCGTTCTTGATAAGGTCGACACGCAACCGCTGTGTCTTCTGAACGAAGTCAACGGAAGTGTCACTCTCATCGTCCCTGAATCTCTGCGTGCCAGTCTTGAGGAGACCTCGTGTGGCACGAGAATAGCGTAGTCGTTCATAGCGATGTCAATACCTCTCGCAAAATCAATTTTCCATCGACAATTGTCAACGATTTTTCGAACCGTTCGCGTTGCAACTCTTCGCGTGCTGCATCACTCGAAACTCATTCATTCCTGATCCTCGAAATGAATCATCTTTCGCCGATTATTAGATACTTATCGTTAGGATAATAGACGACCGATACAAACAGCCAAATTTGCCCTTTCGACAGAGTTCCTCGAGAATTTCCCAACAACTTTTACTTCTAACGACAGTTAAAGGTTTCAATAAAACTTGACGCATTTGGAGATTCTAAAATCAGATTAAAAACAACATACGAAAGGTAACGAATAGCGCTTATTTTCAGACTGCCACACATGGTTCCAATGAAAGCAATCTTTGAAGCGTTAAAAAATCGCCGAGGGAACAAAATAGCGCGCGTGTTGTTCGAAGAAACAATTTTCTTACGAGTAAGTCAATCATTTCCGAACTAATTTTCGCGAGAAGAAAACAGATTGCTTAGCGTGCACAGAAATATTCGAAATACACATCACGCTTCTCCTTGGTGTTTCTGATGGATACGAAAATTGAATTCACCGAATAAAAACATGAAAAAAGATTGATAGAATGGATCTATTGCAGGTGTAGGAAGAAACGTAATTAAATCGATCAAAGTTAGTCGTATTCGGTAAATTAACGTTTGTAAGAATTTTTCTACGAGTCTACGAGTCTGTCTCGTAGAAATTGTATGAATAATTTTGATTAAAAGTAAAGTTTGTTCGGAAGTACATATGATGCGCGGTTCCTCTCCTATCCGCAGTCGACTACGTATCTGCGTCTTGGCGAACAAATGTTTTCGAAAAGGACCGTTAGAGGCGAAAACTTTGAGAGAATTTGTTTTCGACGAGAACATTCGAGAAGACGGAAATGGAAGGTAAATTTTATGGATAAGTCTGGGAATGAGATCAACGAGAAAATTGCACTGGGTAATTGGGAACGAAAAGAAGGAGAGAAATGTTTTTTCATTTTACATTCAGATCGTCTCTCTCTTGT